TTCTGTTATTTGGCTGCTACTAAAATTTATGCATTTATGATATTTTCACGTTCATGTAGTTGGTATTTCCCTATTCTCTTTTTATTATTACGATTTCGTTTGTTACAAAACTTATGATTCTTCTCTTAATTCTTTTTCTTTTTATATTCATTGGTAAAGTGGACGTCATGCTTTGAGAGACAGATTGAAAGAGGTATGCTGCTATTTGGCATGTGTAAAATTGATGAATTACCTCTCTTTGCTTCATCTAAGCGTCTAGGTCTTGCTGTTTACCTCAGCTTGGTTATGAGCTTGACGATGAACAGCTTGGCAACATATTCTGGCGCTTCAAAGCAGTAGCTGAACAAAAGAAGGTGAATGAGATTCTTTATTGGTCTCCTGGATTTCTTTTCTTCTGACATCGTCATTTCAGTCTACTATATATATATATATATAATATTTCAAATTGAAAGAGTTGTGTTTTAAAATTAAGCTGTCTTCAACTTTGGAATTTCTGTTTCTAATGATATCTACTAAGAAAATGAAAATTGAGGAAAGGTACGTAGAGAACGATTCTGCATAAAAAATTCCCTTGGGAAGCCGACATATTATTTTGGATTATATTTTTGAACAGTTTTTCTAGTTCATATCTTTTTAATCATTTTTAAAAACTGGTTTTCTAGTCTTAGGAGCTAAACTATTTGTTTGTATGGGAAGAAGAAAAAAATGAGATACAATACTGAGACAGGAAATAAATAATGCTTTTATTGGTATTTTTTTTCCTTTTCCTTTTCCCTATTTACTATATACCAGTAGATTCATAAGCTTCATTTTGATGTTGAATGTACTTTTAAAGCAAAAATCACCTATCTTTCTTGATCCATTATGGAATTATGACATGGTTTTGGCTGAGTGATGGCTTAGCAAATAGTTAATGATGAATGTTGGTCGAATAGTGTTCATGTAATCGAAAATATATTTTCAAGATCATATGGTGATTATGAAAAGGCAGTGGAAAGTAATGAAAGCTTGTATCGATTGGCTTTTGAAGTTGCCGTACTTCATGGTATTTTTAGTTCTATTTGGAAATTCAGATTATTTTAATTGACTTGGATTGTTTGTATTATATCTTGATCTTAAAAGGCACATTAACTGTTGTTCTAAAGAAGGGTATATAAATGCATGATTTCTTTTGTTTGTTTACGATAATGTGGTCTATACTTATTTTGTTTGCTGGTGTTCCAGAGAGTCACCGATGCCGATCTAATAGCATTGGTTTCAGATGAAGTTTTTCAACCGGAAGTTGTTTGGAAGCTTGATGATTTGCAGGTAACTAGAAATAGTTTTGAACCATAGTTATATGAATGTGACATGGGGTGTGCGACAGATATTTCATGGTATAGTTGTCGTACGTTTCATTAGTTTGTTATTATGGATTGCAATATTATACAAGAGGTTGTGTTGCTTTAAACTATATATATTATGCTTTTGCTTTAATTTGAATAGTAGATAATAAGTGATACTTTACTATGTTGATCATCTGATTTGAATTGTATATAAATGGAAAACATCAAATGCAGGTTACTTGTGGAACTCTTGGCCTTTCTACTGCCACGGTTAAACTCATTGATGCTGCTGGGGTGGAGCATGTTGCGTGCTCAGTTGGAACCGGGCCAGTAGATTCAGCTTATAAAGCTATTGATCTCATTACAAAGGTTTGATACCGAAGATCACAAGTTTCCCTTTATTTACTAGAATTTTCTTTTGGGGATCAGTCAGATATGGTGCATGATTCCTTATCAGGGTTATTAAGAGTTTGTCCATGAGTTCTTGATTTTATTATATTGAAGGTTAATTCGGCGATTATTCTTCAATATAGGGTTTCATTGGCTCTAACTACAGTGTTTAGTTCATAATTTTCAGTTTGAATATTAAACTTAAGTTAGTTTTTCACCATTTTAGTAAACCTTCTTCTTTCCCTTTCTCCCACAATTTTATCGTTTTAGTCCTACGCCTCTGATTTCTCTGTTTTCCTGTTTATTCACTCAATACTTATCTTCCCAAACGTCTTTTGAGACACAAAAATAGGGCTTCTAAGTTGTAACCATATATCTTCTTGAAAATATTTTAATAACTTTGATTTAGAATTTAGGTTTTCCAAATTGAATATCTTCCGTTCTTCTCTTTGTACCATGTTCCTCTTCCTCCGAAGCTTAGTTTAATTGGTTCATACAGCCACTAGTAAGGGATGGCTTGTATGCAACGGTTTCCTGTGTTCATAATGGTGTTCTGTGGCATCTTCTATATAAGGAGGATTCAAATTGATGTCAATAGTTAATAGTTCTGCGTTCTTCGTGTTTGAATACTGTCTCTACATATTTTTGCTAAGGTTTGTGGGCACACTTCATTTTGCAGGAACCAATAACACTACTCGAGTACTCCATGAATGCTGTTACAGAAGGCATTGATGCAATCGCCACCACTCGTGTTCTAATTCGTACCGAGAATAGTCATGTTTTAACTCATGCTTTGACGGGTGAAACTGTTCATCGAACATTTAGGTATGGTTCTTCTCACTCTTGTTTCCATTTGACATTTTTACTACTTCCACAGTCTGAAATTCAGTGCATAAAATTGATGTTTCGTGGCAGTGGAACCGGGCAGGAATGGATATCGTTGTTTCGAGTGTGAAGGCTTATATTGGTGCATTAAATAAGATGTTGGGTTTCAAGGAGCATGGTCAGACAAAAGGTTCTGTAGAACAAACTCTGGTTTCTGCTTAGGTCGTTGTAATCGATACATGTATACTTCATGTCAGTTTTGTGACTCCAGTTGCTCTTCTGTTAGCTGGAATGCTTTGAATGGTATTATTGTATACAGGAATCTTGATAAGTGTAAGAAAAGACATTGTTGGTTTTTGTTATTTATTGTAATAAGAAGTCAAAACTGAGTGAAGCAAAAAAGAAAGATGCTCTTCATTTTTGGCTAGTTATAGTCTTGAAACTCATGAGCTCCGATATCGAATCCGAACAGTGAGACGATAAAAGATGTCACAAAGGAAAACATAATTTGGATAGTCTCATCAGACGATCATAGGCGGGGTAGATTGGACATGTTGGCTTTTGTCTTTTGATGGAATTTTGTAAGTTTCAAGACATTTTTCTCTAGAGGATGATGAAAGAAATATTTTGGTGTCATCGATAGCCAGAGAAAATACCAAACGACAATGGGTGAAATAGTGTCAATGAGCAATGACAATTAAGGTTACTGGGAGAGAGAAGAAACAAAAAGGAGGTTTGAGACTTGAGAGGGAAGAAAAGAGAGGAAAGAGAACTTTGGTTCGATGCCATCACTTATCGGAGAATGTGGTCGAAGTGACTTCGACAGTGAGCAGTTATCGTGTGGTTTAAAAGAAAGATTGAAAGAGTTTAGTAGTCAAAATTTAAGAGTTAAATTGATTTGTTTAAAGGGTAAAGTATAGTAATGGTCATTGAACATTTCTGAAGCTTGCATTTAGGTCCTTCAACTTTTAAAACTCGCAATACAGTCCCCTAACATTTATTCCGTTTGCAATATGGTCCCTCAACTTAAACCACTATTAGAAAATTAGGGTAACGGTCATTGAACTTTTCAGGCACTTAAATTTAGGTCTCCCGACTTTTAAAACTTGTAAAATAGTCCTCAATTTCATTCTAAACCCCAATTTTTAAAGTAATTCAATTTCATTCTAAACCCTAAATTCCAAAATAATTCAATTAAATTTTAAACCCCAAATTCTAAAATACTTCAATTTAAGGTTTAGAATGTAATTGAATTATTTTGGAATTTAGGGTTTAGAATGAAATTAAGGTGTTTTGAAATTTTGAACATGAATTTACTATTTGACAATATTTATTTCAATATAAATTTGAGGTTTGTTTAACTATTTATATCAATTTTGAATAACAATATGCATTGATTAAACATCCCGAATAGCAAAATGGAAGCACTCTATTCGGTATTTCAACTTCCCATAAACTCTGCTCATTTCTTCAACTTTTGACTATATGAAATTCGAAACTCTCATTTGGAGCATTATGATTTAAGTACCACTATGTTCTTGCATGCTATTTTTTTATCAGATTTGAGTACCTAACCCTTCAGTGCTTTACAGTGCGATCATTTATGATTCACCTGAATTTGCTCATACAGTGATCATTTATGATTTAGTAGAATCAATGGTTTAGAATGAAATTGAATTACTTTGGAAATTGGAGTTTATAATGAAATTAAGGATTGTTTTACAAGTTTTAAAAGTTGGGAGACCTAAATTCAAGTGTCTGAAAAGTTTAATGACGATTATATAATTTACCTAATTTTCTAACAGTGGTTTAAGTTGGGGGACCATATTGCAAACTGAATAAATGTTAGGGGACTGTATTGCAAGTTTTAAAAGTTAGGGGACCTAAATGAAAGCTTCAAAAATGTTCAGTGACCATTACTATACTTTACCCTTGTTTAAATTTTAAGGTTAAATTAAAAAGTTAGAATGTCAAAAATTCACCTTAACGTTGAATTAAATAGTCATTTATACCTCTATTTTTTAAGTACTCTAGCTCCCAATATTTCATTTTGGGCGAAAATGACTCCTAATTAGATGAAAATCTTTAATTAACTAATTATCAATATTTTTTTCTAATATAAAAAGTCTTCTATGTCCAAAGTATTGATGTGATACTATCAATTGTGCATAAGTGATAATGTGATATATTTCAATCAGTAATTTATCGTCCAACTCAGAGGACCATTAATTCTTTAACGAGAAAATTCAAATTTAAAATATATGAATAGTTGGATGATCATTTTATAATTTTTAATAATTAATGAACACAATAAGTAAAACTCTATAGTTGGGGATCATTTGTGTACTTTACCCCAAAAAATATAGCACCAAAATAAGTATAGTTGGAAGCTGACCTATACATATAATCTAATATTTGCCTCCCGAGCCCCGTCTGAGAACGGAGAGCCCCAGGCTTCTCTATCTCTCAAACAGTTTCTTCATTCTCTCTTTCTCAAGAATGGCTGATTATGCCGTGGATTCCGATTTACACGTTGGTTCCAAGCGTATAACCTCTACTGACACTGATCAACAAGAAGAAACTCTTCTTCAACTTCCCTCTTCTCTCTCTGAGACCACCGCCGACCGCCGGGATTCAACCCCACCAGACCGCCAAGAAGAAACAGCTATCGATCATAGCTGCCCAAAGAAGAAAGCCAAGTGCTTTCCCTTCTTTCTGAGGGGAACCAAGAAATGGTTCTCCATTCTTTCACTCAAAAGAATGTCTATCTTTCTGGGCCTTTCGAGAAAGAAGAGATATATGATGTGGAGACCAACGAGGGTTCCTTTGGAGTTCAAGAAGTTGGTATCCAAGTCAATGCCATTGAAGCTGATAACAAGGAATATCTGGAGACTTGTTTGGGATTTGAGGAAAAAGGCTTATCAAAGGAAAGGATTTGGAATCTGAAAATGTCTTGGAAGCTGAAAAGAAACGACTTTTGGATGAGCTTGAAGTTGGAAACAACTTTGGTCTTGCGACGAACTCTTCCAAGATTGATGATGTAAACAACGTTGGAGGTACCAAAGGACTTGATTTGCCTGTTAAAGGGTCTTTAATGATTGAAGTTGTCGATGATACGGCTTTGATTGGATCATTTCCTCTCTCCAGAACTGGAAATGAAAGTGGAAAGGATGAAATTGATTGTACCAAAACTAAAAGATCAAGAAGAAAGGGAAAGAATGTAAAAAATGTTTTGGGGGAATCTGGAACGGTGAGACATACTGAGTCAACCAAAATATTTGAAGTTCAAAATAGGAAGACAGAAAGCGGAAATCAAAATAAGACAATGTACTCAAGAAAAGAGTTAGAGGCTTTGAGGTTTGCAATTGGTGTGGAACAGAGGAATTTCTGGAGGGATGTATATAACAGTCTTGGTAAGATGTGATCAGAGAGTATGAGGACTTGGGAAGGTGGAAGCAGCAGAAGGAAATCAACTCAGGTTCGAGGGAAGTTCTACCGCTGCACTTTTAATATACAACTAAAAAATATTAAATAGCAAAATCGGATAAAAAAATTATCGAAAATATTATTATTTTATCTAAACCTTAATGTCTTTTAACATTTTCAGTAAAATATCTTAAAAATAACAAAATCGATAGAAAAAAATAACAAAATAGATAGTGCATTTTTCAAATTCGAGCTCCTCACGTCATGATTTTTGTAGAGAAATAGGGTCTCTCGCGGGATTCAAATAACGGGACAAAAACGTAATACCATAGCGTCACTATTTCAAACCGAAATTTAAGAAAATAACGATGGTTAGTGGATTCACGCCAAAATTAACCCGTTACTTCCGCAATCTAACAGGTAAATATGAACAGCACTGATAATATATACCATCACTGCAAAACAAAAATAAAAAGCTAAATCAAAGGATTATATTCCTCTGATGAATAAAAAAAAAGCGAAAATTAATTGAAAAAATGGTAAAAACTCAATTAAATCTGTCAAAATCATACAACAGTACAAAAAATATCAATCTAAAGTTGAAAGTTGAAATTTACATTTCCAGCAATAAAATTTGAGAAATGCAAATCTCTCTTAAACTCTAAAACAAAAAACAAAAAATAAAACATATCAAGCAAGACTCACCAAATATCAAATTGGGAAGACAAAAGTGTTTTGAGGGAAATATTGTTGTTGCATACGTATGTGAAGCTTCTCCGCCGGTGTTGAGCAGTAACGACGATTAATAGGCTTCCATTTGAGAAGGTAAAATAAAAAAAATTCTTACACCTTAGATTTAATTTTGTAGAGATGAAACTTGATTTTTTTTGTTTAAAAAGATTAAAGGTTGGGGGAGGGGAAGTTGAAACTTGAGAGAGCTTTATCGTGAGAGTTGAGAAAGCTTTTGTGTGGAAGTCAGTTTGGGTAGGGGAAATTGAGAAACTATCTTTCTGCCGTTTGCTCAAAGAAAAAAATAATTTTAATTTTAAATCATTAAATCATAATTTAAGAGAGAATATTATGGGTTATGGAATGTTTTCCATTTTAAATTAGAGATGATTTTTTTTTAAAAAAAAATTTAAAATTATTTGAAGAGATTGGTTTTTTTTAAATAATTTTTAAAATATAATTTTAAAGTATATATTAATTTGACATCCTTCTCATATTTTAAAATTTAAAATTTAATCTTTAGTTTAAAATGTAAACTTTTATTTTTATTTAATTTAGTTCTAATTTCAGTAACATAAATTTCTGACATTTAAATTTTATATTTTTAAGATGAAGGTGAAAGATTTGATCTTCCTCGTCATTTCACTAATTGGTGAAATTGCTACCACTCCATTTCTAAGGTATGCTTTGCATACCAAAAAAAATCTATTTTTCTATAACATTTGATTAATTAACATTGTTTTTGGATTTTAATTTACTTTGTTTGATTGGTTTTAAATTAAAAGAGAGACATCCATAATGAAAACTATTGAACATCTTAACATAATTAGGTTGCACGAGATATGTGTTGTTTTAAGTATTATGCATGTTAACATAGTTAGGTTACATGATGTATGTGTTGTTTTTTTATCTTTAGGAATTATTAGCATTGTGACCTGAGATAATCCAGTCTTCTAATGATGAACAACTTGATTCTGCTGCGGGCTTAATCTCTAACCTTCCTGAAAAATAACCATACCACTTGGTCGCTTGTGGATGCTGCTGCAATTCCAACCAATTTTCATTTTCTGCACAGGGGCGGGCATAATAATGATTTCGATAGAAGCAAGTAGAAAATGCTGTCGGAGTCGGAGACATCTGCCGTTTAACCGCTACAACAAATCTGGAATGGCAAAAGTGAGCAGCTGAAGCTGGTGTCATCCCCATGTTAGTTCGATTGTTGGATTCTGGAACTACCTTGACCAAAAACCATGGAGCTGCTTCGCTGTCCCGGTTTTCACATGGATTTCACATCAGCTAAGCCTACCAACACCAAATTTAAGGGGTTCTGGTGCTTGTTAGCTTCACCAGAGACCGGTTGCCAGGTTCATGGAGGAATTGATTCCGTTGAATCAAGCAGAAGTAGGGTCCATAGGCAATTTGAACTTTCCCCTCTGTTCTATGTTTTCTTTCCATTTAAAAAAATATGTAAAGATATTGTTTAGGGGCACGTCGGCTTTAATAAAAACAATCTATAATATTTATTGCAGCTTGCATTTTCATGACTCTAAAGCTGCCATTTTTACTTCCAACAAAACTTGAAAACATAAGGGCCATGCCTCAAGTTCAGGACTTCGGCAATGATACAACTTCTATACAAGACAAAATGCAGTAAACAATCTAAATGTTTTAAGATGCCTACCTTTCAACATTTATGTGTAGAAAGATGAAACACACAACTTCAAATGCCGTCTGGACAAGATACCAACTTCGTGGAAATGCAAACCAGGTTGATTTAGGGTTCGTTTCCTTGTTCAAGAAGGCTCTGCGTGTTATAACCGCTTCCACGAGCCCTTTCTTTCCAAATTTGTTCCACTTCGACGAACGTCAATCCCTTGGTCTCCGGAACATATACAGTCACAAAACGACTGCAAGCAAAGCTATGCCAGCGAGGATCAAGAAAGTAACTCCAGTTCCTTCGGCTTCAGCGATTGTAAGAAAAGTCTGGGCCACAATCAAATTTGAAATCCAATTCACTGTGGCCGACATGCCCCCGCATATCCCTCGGTATTGCTCAGGGTATATCTCCGAGTTCAGGGTCCACGGAACGGGGCCCATTCCAGGTGCGAAGAATGCAATGTAAAGAGCTAATCCAATGACTGCCAGCCATCCATAAATTCCATTAGAAGAACCAGTTGTTTTGGCAAAGAAAGCCCCGGAAAGGATGACAAGGGACACAATGACACCGGATAAGCTCGAAAGCGCCAGATTTTTCCTTCCGAAATGATCGATAAGGTAAATGCCCACAACAGTTCCTGCTGCATTCATGGCAGCGACAATAAGCGACAGCAGAAGAGCAAGCTTATTAGAATTGAAGCCAGCCATCTGGACAATTGTTGGACTATAGTACATCACGGTATTGATACCAGTGAACTGCTGCAAAGCCTGCATATAATCATAGTTTCTATGTCATAAAAATAGTTATAAGAGTTGTATTCACAGTAATGTTCTTAATTAACTCCGAGTACATTTCATGTTGAAAGATATAAAGGTCACGAGTCATTTTAAGTGCATTCAGAATTAGACAAAGTGACCTCTCAAAAAATGATGCGGCTACAAGTTTATTTTTTAAAAAAAGTATATAAAAAGAAAAATGTAATTCTGATGGACAACACATTCCAAAAGAATGTTGATGTTAGAATCTTTACCTGAAGTCCCGCCCCAGCCAGAAAGGCAAGTCTAATTTCTTTTGTTCTGAAAACATCCAAATATCTGACGGTTTTCTTTCTCTGACGTTCTTCTTCTTCTGCGGCAGAAAGGTGATCCACTTCATCCTCTAATCGAGCAATTTCGTAAATATTAGAAAGCACCGCTATGGCTTTATCTTTCTCATTCTGTACAATATGATGGGATGGCTCGTTAAAGGAGTATACAGGATCCACAAAGAAATTTCCCCAAAAGTTAGATGTACCTTCATGAATAGCCATCGTGGAGACTCCGGCATACAAAGCATAAGGAAGAACTGAATGACAGCAGGTATGGCTGAAACTCCAAGCATCCATCTCCAAGTTCCTTCAACCTGTTCATGCAACAATGTTTTAGACAGCTACTAGAGGTACTCGAGAACATTTTGGAGTGCATGAAGTCCTATGATGCATAAAGGCCAGGTAAGAACTAAGTCCGGACCCATGAACCATCATCCTTCACCCATTCATATGCTTCTCTCACCTCAAATAACATTAAGACCTTATCGTATATCCATAATTAAACGGATATGGTATCAACTAGTTATGGCAACAAAACCACTGGTTTAAATGGATATGATTTTAACAAATTATGCTAACAGAATCATACACTTATTTCTCTTAAAATGCTTCAATTTGTGTTGAACGAATAATGGTTCTCCAAGATTTCCAGAATCATACGCTTATTTGTGTTTATAAAACCACTGGTCTCTATGGGAGGAAACACAATAAGCTTACTCCCGATAGCCTTAAAAGTGAATCTATATTATAAGATCAAATTCGAAGCCCTTAGCTATCTATGATTGGACGATTAGCATCCAAAAGAATAATGGATTCGGAAAGAGGGTAATAAAGCTTCTGAACAAACTTTTAACCTCCTATGTTCATTTCTTTAGCACACATTTTACAGAAAAAAACATATTTACGCTACATACTAGGTAAAATTCAACATGCTGAAAATAATGGCTGCACATGCATAACCTAACTAGCAGAAAAGAACGAGTGAATTCCGTCACTGGTGTTTCTGTTCAAGACCAATTATATCCAAACCCCGTATTTATCTGGGATACGGTGTCTCCAAAACTGCAAAACTGAACACCATTTCAAGCCAGCAGAAAAAATAATGAGCATAAATATACATAGAACAAAATTATCCAACTTTTCCAAGAAAATAAACAATTACCTCGGAAAACTGGTATTACTTGGAACACAATTTGAGGTTTATGTAATCAAGTATTTATTTAACTCACTAACACCACAACAAGAGACTGATAATAGTAAAATGCCTAGTCATCGATGATTTATTAACCAGTAATTTAACATGCACATTTGACATTCTATCTTTAGTTTAAATATAAGATCATCTTCAACCTTGAATCTTATCATGATAAGAAGAAAATTGAATATTGCTATCTATACCATTTGAACCATCTCATTGAGTTCAAAATCTACAGATGTCCATTTACTGATTATTCAGCTATAGCTTGTTAATTGAACCATTATTAGCTTCATTAACCACCAACCTTGTAAATATTGAACTTCTAAAGCAAGCAAATTTGTC